AAAAAAAAATTATAGCCCTTTTTATTTTACAAAAAATAATAATAATATTTTTATATTTCTTCACCCAATAAGTGAGTTAGTTGTATGAGATCAAAATTAAGCTATGTTAGCTATACGCCGACGCAAACAATATACATTGATTATTTTCGCAAACTGCACGCAGCTCTTTGACTTAAATCAGTATCCACAGGATATATTATATTCATGGCAACAAATATTTAATGAAACTACCGAAGTATAAAATCATTATACCAAAAAGATTAAGTTCGACCTGAAGCATTAAAAAGCTAAATTTTTATGTTATCTTTGTTGTTGCTTGCGATGCAATAATAGAAAAGCTGGATTAATTATTGTGTACAAAGAGGAAACGACAAATAATAAGTAATGTTAAATTAATATATCTACGCTGTATGTGAGTGAGTATAGGATTTATGGGAAGCACGTGACACTACTTTTCGCGCATGCCAAAAGGAAGTAAAACATGGAAATGACACGTCATGTATTATTTTTATTTTTTTCAATATATATATATATATATATATATATATATATATATGAGAATATTGTTTCTCATATTTTATCTCATACAAAACATAAAAAAATTAATGAAACCCACTAATAAAAAGAGAAAAAGAAGACAAATAAATCTCACTTACTTTTATATGTGTGCATGAAATAATTTTTTTTTTTTTTGATAACAAAATAAAATTGTTTTATACAATATTAGAAATTGATTCCACACACAAATATATATATATATATATATATATATATATATATATATATCTTCTATCTAATAACGTTAATTTATTGGGGTTCAGTAGGTCGTTTGATGCCAATCTAATTAATAATTAAAATTAAAAATTAATTTATAACCACATAAATTAATCTCCTTGTATATAAATATTAATATTGATGGATACTCAATTCTGTACTATATTTTATTTTTATTTAAAAGATCTTACAATCTCCCCGATCAAGGCTAACGTGCGCCAACGGTGTGGTCTGCGCTGAAAGATTATTGATAATAGTATAACACTAACTACATTTAAAAAAATAAGAGACAAAAATAAAATATTCAATGGAGAATAAGCAACTGAGTCCGGTTTAATTAGTGTTTAAAAATAAAAAAATTATTCCTCTCACTTAAGTTCTTTCAGGTTTAAAAAGAAAATCTGAAAATTTTGGCTTTTTAATCTATGTAAAGCAAAATTGATAATTCTTCACCGGTTTAATTTATTTAACAAATAATTAATTTATCTATCTAATATGAAAATACACATATATTGACCGTATATTTCTAAGTCTCACATCACTTCCATATATAATTTGTGCAAAAATCAATGCATTCTCTTTCACGTGTTTCTCTTTGTTTTTTTTTTTTAAATATTTCGATTCATTATTTTGTAATTAGTGGGTCTGGAATTAAGACTTTAAATTCCCCCAAAGACAATAATAGAGAGGATCGAACACATACTTTAATTCCCACCTACTCAGTTTTCTAGTGTCAATTGAACTACTATCATTTGATACGTATTACTCTTTGTAAAGAACTTATTTTTTGTGCTCTAGGAGCACATGATCCCCAAAAAAATAGAAAAAAAGTGAGATATGAATAGAAATAAATATAAATACAAGAATTGTATAAAAATATTACTTTTTACTATATTTAGTAAAAATGGCACGGAGTACTTCGTGGTCCTAATTCCTCCACAACAATAAAAATATTTTCTTTTGTAAGACACATATCACTCTCGTACAAGTTGAGTATACATTTCACATGGTGGAATGAGTATTCTGACTTTTGTACAAGTTACGCATGAAGTTAATGTGACTTGAATATATATATATATTTTTTGCATTAAATTGAAAATTATTTATCAAAAAAATTAAATTGGTGAATAATTACATAATTAAACTTAAACGGTTAAAAAGTCGAAAATTTTAGAACATATTGTTTTATTATTATTATTATTGAAGTGGGAGTATGGTCCTGGTCCCTCATATGTTGTATTTTCAATTTGTCCTTACCTTATCCGAAGAATCTCGACACTGCCATTTTCTTTTCAAGTGACAAGCAAAGATATCATTCATTCATTACTATGTAACTGAATTGACTCCAAAGTTACAAATTCGACAACGATTCGCAATGTAATAAAGATAAGCTTACATATACTAACTAATCTTTTATCCTTCTAAAGTAATAATTAAGAAATATAAGACATCTGTTTATGGAAAGTGTTTATTGGCTAAGTACAATGAATATGCTTTAAGGTTTTAAATATATTCTTTCTTGGCTTTAACAATATTATTATTAATGTTAGAGAATAAATGTTAATATTGTTTTTTTAGTCCTGTCTTTATTATCAAATGAAATATCACCTTGACCGGCCCTACTAGATGACTTAAGTTTACTTTTTGTTTTATACCAAAAAAAAAAAGTTTACTTTTTGTTAATAGAATCAAGGTTTATTTTAGACACTTTTATCTAATGTTCATTAAAATGATGCTATTTTGGGACAAAAATTATTATGTATTTATAATTTTTAATTTATTTTAGAGTTATCATAGTCTTTATTATTTTAATTTTTTTAATTTTTTAACTCCAAAATAACGTCGTTTCGATGAACATTAAATAAAATTATCTAAAATAACATTAGATATTTTTTTATATAATTAATATAAAATTTCATTTAATGATAAGAAGTATCATAAAATAAAAAATATATTATTAACGTCTATTTTACTAATTTTACACAGTGGGATGATAAATAAATTAAGAGTAGATTATTTTATGTTAAATTACGATAGAAAATTATAATCATTCAAATGCGGATTAATAGCGATAAGAGAAGAGGGAGAATTTTTTTTAAAAATAAGTAGTTACAAAATTATTATTGTTGATTTATCTTTGAATTATTGTGATATTCCAAATTTGACATCATTGATATGACCATACGAAAAATCATAACCATATAAATGTGGATTAATGATAATAAGAAAATAGAGAAAAAAATATTAAAATAAATAATTATAAAATCATAACTAAAAAGGCAATGAATTTTCGAAATTCACATGTAGCATATTAGATGCAATGATAACTAAGGTGGTCCTCTTACGAAAAGACAATTATCCTAATCATAGACATCTTACTTGTGAATGACTTAATTATGTTATTCTATGTTTAATATGATAAATCTCATAGCAAGTGGTCCGTGAATATTTGAAGAAATAAAAAATTGTATTTATTAAATTTAATTATGTTATGCTATTTTAATATAACTTATTTACAGTATCATTTAGTAATTTAGTCACATCATGTGTTGCTACATTATGAAATTTTTTGACTATGATGATAATAGCTATTCAAGGGATTTAATTGGGTGGGAAAAATGTGTATCATTTTAAATGATGTAAATTTGTGTCATTTTAAGTGAGAGAAAGAGATAGATAAAGAAGGAGAGAGTGGACAAAAAAATATAAAGGTGTGAGTCTCACCTCTTTGTGAGAGTGAAAGAATATAAGTTATGTCATTTAAAAGGATAAACATTTTTTCCTAATTGGTTTGATAATGTAATATCAAGTGTTTAAAGGAAAATTATTTATTTTTTTAAATGATATAATCTATGTCTTTTTATTCTCATAAAGATGTGGGATCCACACTTTTATTTTATTTTTTATCCATTCTCTTTCTCTTATGATTTATCTCATTCTCTTACTTAAAATATCATAATTTTACATCATTTAAAACGATAGACATTTTTCCAATAATGTTTAAACGTTGTCTAATACATTTAAGATACTAATGTAGTGAGTTCAATTGTTTAGCGAAAAAAAAAGTGAGTTCAATTTATATAACAAATAAAAATATTTTATATGTTGAAAAATAAAATAAAAATATTTTTTTAATATTACTATTAAACGTGAGCATTTATTTATTAAATAATATTATTAATAAATTAAATTATATGTTCTTAATTAATACTTTCAAAGCATTCATTAATGCCATGATCAGGTTAGACTTGTTTTGATCATTAATTTATCTGTTAAGATTAAATAATTTTGATAAAATAATAGGAAAAGAGTTATATTTACAATTTTTTGTTTACGTACTCTTACAAACTACTACACTATATATTTTTAAAAGTACACTAGATTACACTATATACTTCAGAAAATACATAAAATAACTTACAAAAATTTGTAAACGAATTCTTTTGAAAATAATATTTGATTGACTCATATCAGTGGTTGTTTATTGATTTATCATTTATTATATGAAAATATCAATATAATTCAATTTTGAGACCTGTAACATATACTGTAACATATAGAAATTTCTCAACTTTTGAATGCAAGTTTACTCAGCACTTCATTATTCACGAACCAGATTAAACTTATATTTTTATGGGTTTAATTTTAATACATTATAAGGGTAAAAATTTAATGCTATATTAAAAAATAACTTTATACATAATTGTTATGACAGTTAAAAAACTAAAAACATTAAATGCACACAGTATTTTCAATGCACCAACTCACAAAGAGAACAGTTGATTATTCAAAAAGGAAAAACAAAAGTCAATGATGATACATGCAAGATTAAAGTAACATAACATTAATGTTAAAAAGTATATAAAATAATTTTAAAAATAATATAACTATTAAATTATTTCCAAAAAAAAGTTTGAATTGAATTATGACATGATGAAAAATGTTACAATTTTTTTTTTTCTTTTTCATCTCACATTTCTCCGTAATGTGGGGGAGAGAGAGAGAGAGAAGAGTTGGTGAATGGTGAGGACAGGGGCGTGGAATGTGGGGCCCAACATGTCAATTCAAAGGAACAAGAGGGACAGCGACGTAAATGCGCCGAAAATTATAAACAAAAAAACATCACTGCCATGTTTCTCGGTATTCGTGTCTTTCTCTCTTCTCTTCTCACTTTATTCCCTCTCTCTTTCTCACTCTCACTCTTCTCTTCTCTTCTGTTCAATTCTTTCTTCCAAATCCCAATTTTTCCACCTTCATTCCCTTCCTTAATCCTTATCCATCAACATGGTCATGCTTAGGGTCTTTTTTCTCCTTTCTCTTCTCCCACATGCTTCGAAACAACACAGTTAACTTCTTATTCCTTCCTTCTTCCTCAAGCTCCATTCTCAAGTGTTCTCTTTCTTTTCCATTTCCGTTCGAATCTGTTTCAAAGGGGAAAGCTCAAAGCCTCACACATCACACAACCTTCAAATTTTAAAACCACAGTTTTTATCTTTCTCTCTCTTTTTCCTTTTTCCGGTTTCTTCTCTCTTTCATTTTTTTTTTTATATATATATATTTCAACCGAGCTTCTAAGAAAATAATAAAAATCCGTAACAAGTGGGGTTTTTCTCTTTCACAAGCTGCTGTTGTACAAGAAGAGAAGAGAGAGAAGGAAACAAAGAGCGGGGGTTGGGGTTGTTTCAATCTTAGCTGGTAAAGAACGAGAGTTTCCTGTTCACAATTTGGCACCATTCACTTCAATTTTCACGAAAGGGAGTTTCTTTTTCTCTGGGGTGGTTTCACAGTAGAACTTGAGGAACCAAAAACGGTGGTTGCACAAAAATACGCACTTTTTTTTTTTTTTTTTTTTTTTCTGTCTCTATTCTATTCTACAAACCCCATTTCCCATTTAACGTTGAGAGTTACTCATTTCCCATCTAGGCTTCTATATCAAAGCTCTCCCAAAATTTCCTATGCCAAGGAACGGCCTTTACTAAGAGCAAAGCAACAACCTTCTTCTTCTTCTTCTTCTGCTAGTTTTCTTCCTTGGTCGTGATTCAGAGTTTGTGTTTGTTGTGGGAAGCATGGCCATGGCTTTGGCTCAACATAGAGAAAGCAGCAGCAGTGGTAGCATTGATAAGCACCTTGATGCTTCTGGGAAATATGTGAGGTACACTGCTGAACAGGTTGAGGCTTTGGAACGTGTTTATGCTGAGTGCCCCAAGCCTAGTTCCCTGAGAAGGCAACAATTGATCCGAGAGTGCCCCATTCTTTCCAACATCGAGCCCAAGCAGATCAAGGTTTGGTTCCAGAATCGCAGGTAAACCAAATCAACCCCTTTTTTTTTATTAAGGCCTCCTTCAAACTCTGCTTCACCATTCAACTTTCTTTCTTTCTTTTATTTTTTCCCTTTTTGAAAGTTTGCATCTTTTGTTCTCTCTTGATTATGGGGATTGTGAACTCAGCAGCTCTCATATATGGTTTGGTTTGGGCTTTGAATGTTGTGCAGGTGTAGAGAGAAGCAGAGAAAAGAGGCTTCACGACTTCAAACTGTGAACCGTAAACTGTCAGCAATGAACAAGTTGTTGATGGAGGAGAATGATCGGTTGCAGAAACAGGTGTCACAGCTTGTGTGCGAGAATGGGTATATGCGGCAGCAATTGCATACTGTGAGTGTATGAACATGGCTATTGTCATAATCAATGTTCTGTGTTCTTTCTGAATGTCAATTTGTCGTGGTTCTTCAACTGAAAATAAATATAGAAGGAACACACACAATGTAGAGAAACTGAGAAAGAACCGATCCATTGTTTTTTCTTTTCTTTTCATGTATTGATATTAATGGCTGTTGTATCTTTTATATCATGTGATGAAAATAAGCACGATTTATTTGGTTGTTTAAGCTATAATTCATGTCATTGTTATCCCTGCAGACATCAGCAGCAACTACTGATGCTAGTTGTGATTCGGTGGTTACTACTCCTCAGCATTCCATGAGAGATGCTAATAACCCTGCTGGGTAATATCCAGGCTTATGAAGTTAAGTTTATGCTGTTTTTGTCATGAAGCTTTCCTTAATTCATTTTTTATTATGATCCTTGCAGACTCCTATCAATTGCAGAGGAGACCTTGGCAGAGTTCCTTTCAAAGGCTACGGGAACTGCTGTCGATTGGGTCCAGATGCCTGGGATGAAGGTTTCTTTTTTATTCCTAACTATGAAGTTAGTAAATAAATTAGTGATCATGGCTTTTAGGAGATAATTAGTGTGAATTTTGCCCTGGTACTCTGCTGATTTGAATATGAAGGAAAATTTCTTTCTGTAAAGTCACTAACTACATCGTTCTGCAAAAAAAAAAAATCTTTTTGTCAGCCTGGTCCGGATTCGGTTGGGATCTTTGCCATTTCCCAAACTTGCAATGGAGTGGCAGCTCGAGCCTGTGGTCTTGTTGGTTTAGAACCTACAAAGGTAAATTCACTCTCCAATTAAGAAGCGAAAGTATGGTTTGCAATTTTTTTTTTGTCATTTCATGGTATGCATGTTAAGGTCTCAATTTTGAATTTCTAAATCCCAAAATTTTCAATAGATTGCAGAGATCCTCAAAGATCGTCCATCTTGGTTTCGGGACTGTCGGAACCTAGAAGTTTTCACAATGTTTCCTGCCGGAAATGGTGGGACCATTGAACTTGTTTACACACAGGTGAGCTTCAAACATAAAATTTAAGAATACTTTGTCGTTTTATTTGATGGCTGTGAGTAAATTCCGAAATTGCTATAGACATATGCTCCAACAACACTGGCTCCTGCCCGGGATTTCTGGACTCTGAGATACACTACAAGTTTGGACAATGGCAGTCTTGTGGTGAGTATATTATGTTGTTTGACAAATAACTTTAGTTGCATAGAATTAATATAACACTGCACCTCATTGTGCTTTCTTTATGCTCTGTTTTAAAGGGAGATGATTTAATGTATTTTGCACTTACATGCATTCTAATCCCACTTTTGAAGGTTTGTGAGAGGTCCCTGTCTGGTTCTGGGACGGGCCCTGATCCAGCTGCTGCTGCTCAGTTTGTTAGGGCTGAGACGCTCCCTAGTGGCTACTTGATTCGCCCATGTGAGGGTGGAGGGTCAATCATCCACATCGTAGACCACCTAAATCTTGAGGTTTGGCTGCTTAACAATGAGCTAATGTATATTTTTCTTTCCATGTTACATACAATAACTTGCTTCTTGTTTTCTTCTAGGCATGGAGTGTGCCAGAAGTGCTGCGACCACTTTATGAATCATCAAAGATGATTGCTCAGAAAATGACAATTGCTGTAAGTTCAGTATTGTTGATATTAAAATCTTTGAATTAGGATCTCTATATCTTTCTCTCTTTTTTCTTCAGTTCTATTTTGTCATTCTTCATTTCAAGTTCAACAAGTACTGCACTTGTCTTCTGGACCCATCTTCATTTCACGCGATTTCCATTTTCCATTCTTTCTTCGAAGACAGTTATTAATTTGATGGCTTTTGTGATAGGCTCTTCGCTATATCAGGCAAATAGCTCAGGAAACAAGTGGTGAAGTGGTATATGGATTGGGTAGGCAGCCTGCTGTTCTGCGAACTTTCAGCCAAAGATTGAGCAGGTAGCCACATGGAATAATTTGTTTCCTTGAAGGCTATTTCAGCCTGCAGTTCTAGAATATTGATTTTTACAATATAATATCTGATTCATTGTACTCACTTTTGGCTGAAAATTGATGCATTACTCTTGCAGAGGCTTCAATGATGCCGTAAATGGATTCAACGACGACGGGTGGACTGTACTGAACTGTGATGGCGCCGAGGATGTAATTATTGCAGTTAGTTCAACCAAGAATTTGAGTGGCACTTCTAATCCAGCAAGTTCCCTTACTTTCCTTGGAGGAATTCTCTGTGCCAAAGCTTCTATGTTGCTCCAAGTGAGTCTGAGAACGATATTTTAATAGTGTTGCTTTTGGAAAGCTATTTTTAATGAATAGAAAGAGGAGGAGGACATGTTATATGGGGTACCTTTGTAGCTGCTGCCTTCCCTTTTTGTAACATGCACCAAAATTAGTATTGTTTGCATCACATAATATCTTTTAACAATTAAAACTGGCCTTTGATAGTTTTGATCTTCAAAAAAATTCTCGGCCTAAGGAGATTTCTTTGATATGTTCATGAATATGGAACCTGATACTGGCTTGAAATGGATAAGTGGTTCTTAAAATTAAACTTATAATAGATGGCTAACACTAACATCTTTGAATTGTTATATGACATGTCTTTATGCTGCTTTGCTTGCAGAATGTCCCCCCTGCAGTTTTGGTTCGCTTTCTGAGGGAGCACCGGTCAGAGTGGGCTGATTTCAATGTTGATGCTTATTCTGCTGCATCACTGAAAGCTGGCACCTATGCCTATCCAGGGATGAGGCCTACAAGATTCACTGGCAGTCAAATAATTATGCCTCTCGGCCATACAATTGAACATGAAGAAGTATGTTTGCAGTACCTTGCCCATACATGCCAGATCAAAATATCTCTTCACTGTGTCCTGGGATCCATTAAAGAGATTTTGGCTAGCATGGCCATGAGTTATTTGTCCTTTCTTAGATGACGGGTGCATATTTGCTTTGGGCCTAGATTTGTTTAACATATATGTGCATGTTCTGCTATCCAGTAGAATGACGTCAACATTTTTTGGTCTGATCACTTTAAACATTTCTACTTTCGAGCAACATTCCTGATAAAGTTGTGTTTTCATTCCAGATGCTTGAAGTTATTCGGCTTGAAGGCCACTCTCTTGCTCAAGAAGACGCATTTGTTTCTAGGGACATTCATCTCTTACAGGTGATGCCTCTGACTCTTGTTAAGAAATTCTCTGTATTCAATTCTTTTTTCATAAGCTGAGTTAGGTGACTCAAATCGAAAGTGGATATATATCTTTTATACAAATTGCTTTTTTGTATTGAGGATGCAACGAGTTTTAGCATAAATATCTTGGTAAACTATAGATTTTGAATAAACAATACCTTAATTAGAGATCTCAATCTTAGATTAAGATTTTTGCATTACAACTTCAGGTTGATTCTAAAGGGCTACCTAAAATCCTTGCTACTAAATTTGTAGTTATACTTGTGCCAATCAAGGGGGTTTTGGGCATTCTTCTGCCTGCCTTTTAAGCATTCATTTCATTTATAGTTCATTTTTATGAAGTTTTATGTACATGAACTACTATGATCAATATAGGTAGTTGCTAAGATTCTTCTTTTTTGTGTTGTCTTTTATGCAGATATGTAGTGGAATTGATGAGAATGCTGTGGGGGCTTGTTCTGAACTCATATTTGCTCCAATTGATGAAATGTTCCCTGATGATGCTCCATTGGTGCCTTCTGGTTTCCGCATCATTCCATTGGATTCAAAACCAGTTAAGTTTTGTTCCTTTGTAATTTACATTCTGTAATGAGCTTCTTTTTTCCAGATTTTTGCTGCTTTTACTCTGGTTAATCTTCTTCCTAGCGTAGGCACATTTAATGGCATCAGATTTCAGATTACTGAATTTCACGTGCGGACCTAAAACTAAGGAGAGATTATTTTCTTTGATGTTAAAGCATGGGATTTTGTATTTAAACAATGACTAAATACGTACTATCTGCTAGTTTGAAATGTCTTAAGTGTTATTGATGTCCATAATATTGAATGGTCCTACTGTTATTGTATTTTGAAACAATGGTCCTACTATGAGATTATGATATTACTCTCGCCCGCCAAAAGATAGCTAGATAATTGACTTCTCATCTGTCATAATTACACCTTATCATTCAAATCATCTGTATCATATATGGATCCATGTTGTAACATTACTATGTTGTTGTGTTTTAGGGTGATAAAAAGGATGCAATGACTACAAATCGAACACTGGATTTGACATCTGGTCTTGAAGTGGGTCCAGCGACAACTAGCGGTGCAGATGCATCATCTAGTCACAACACGCGATCCGTGTTGACAATTGCCTTCCAGTTTCCTTTTGACAGCAGTTTGCAAGATAATGTTGCAATCATGGCGCGTCAATATGTCAGGACTGTGATTTCCTCTGTGCAAAGGGTTGCCATGGCTATATCTCCATCCGGTATAAACCCAGCTGTTGGAGCAAAACTTTCTCCAGGTTCTCCAGAAGCTGCTACACTAGCTCACTGGATCTGCCAAAGTTATAGGCAAGTCTGTTTAATATTTCTGTCTAAAAGTTAATACAAGCATGCTATTGCGACTTTCATATTTGCACCGGGTGGGTTGAGAATTCACAATTTGGTTTTCTTCTATATTAACCGTCATATGTGTTAAATAATTCAAGTTACTATTGTACTAGATATTTCTTCTTCAAAAAAGGTCTAATGTGTCTATCTTTCCAAAAGCAGTTACTATTTAGGGACAGACTTATTGAGATCAGATTCTCTTGTTGGTGACTTGATGCTGAAACATCTGTGGCATCATCAGGATGCCATTCTATGCTGTTCACTGAAGGTATGGTTGTGATTACACTTCAATATCAGGATGCACTTGTAACATGTCGCGATAAGTTAATTAATGTGAATCTCCATTTGGTAACTGGTATTTGCAGTCTCTACCAGTGTTCATCTTTGCAAATCAAGCTGGCCTAGACATGTTGGAAACAACTCTAGTGGCTTTACAAGACATCACATTGGATAAAATATTTGATGAGTCCGGACGCAAGGCATTGGTTGCAGACTTTGCCAAGTTAATGCAACAGGTGATTAAATGAAAATTCTTTTATTATTTTTATTGTGATCACAAGTTACAACCTAGACTGTTATTTTCAAATAGATGAATTTTTTTTTTTGTATGCTTATGTATTCATATTCTTTCATCAGGGTTTTGCTTATCTGCCAGCTGGGATCTGCATGTCCACGATGGGGAGGCATGTTTCATATGAGCAAGCCATTGCATGGAAAGTGCTTACCACAGAAGATAACACTGTTCACTGCGTAGCTTTCTCTTTCATAAATTGGTCTTTTGTATGAAAATCCATTTCCTGTGCCCTGCCTTTTCCCACTTGAATATTAAAAAAAAAAATATGAAGGGGTAGAAGGATACGTTAAATTTGGAGGGGAAAAAGAAATCCGAAATTTTTGTTCACCTATTATAACACAAGATCAGGTTTGCATTTAATTCGATTTAATTTATTTCTTATTTAGTGCAGAGACCAAATTGAGTTTTATCTTGTACATTTGTTAGTGCTAGCTAGAGTGTAAGTTGAGACTCGAATGACAGATATGGAATTCTTGTTTTTGTGTCTGTAGCATCTTTCAACTCAAGAGTTCAGTTAGAAAACACAATATATGTCTGATGACAATGGCGCATGTGCGTGATGTGATGTTACTGCATAATCATCAGTTGTGACTTGTGTACTAAAAAGATCCTTAATTTACGTGTCTGAACTTTAACATCCCTTAGATTTTGGTACGGTTTTAAGAGACCTTTGGTTCCATCCTTTTCTTTATGTGACCCTGTCAGATGAAATTCAACACTTGAATATGATGTGACTCCAACTCAACCCCTCTCTAAACTATAGCAAAAGCGAAGCAACCTTTGAAATTTGTCGTTTTCTAACTTTTTTGGCATGATTATTCTAGTTTAATAATATACCTGTGCAATATTTCATAGTTACTGTATTCCATGTAGATTATGTTGCTCGTTGATCAATAATTAAATTATAACCACAAAAATCATGTGAATAAACTGAATCGACGAAACCATGCACCACCTAATGGCTAATGGATAGCATACACAGGCTGCTATATTGGGCTTCTTTGTCTATTATGTAGTGTTATTTATTATATTACTTATACTAATGCATTGATAAATTTAATACTCTCATAACTGAAGAGATATAATATGAAGTATAATTAAATATATTTATATTATATAGTGTAAGAAATATTTAAATTTCTGTAACAATATTGGGGAATTTTTTTACAATTTTTTGTTTTGTTCATTAAATACCTTGTTTATTATAACATTAGCTAACATTATACTTAATATTAATAAAACATACTTACAATATCAAACTCATGTCCATAAAGATCAACAACACTGCTAGGAAATAGTCTTATATATACACACAACCAGTTCAACCATGATTGAACTATTAGACAGTAAATCGGTTTCTTTACCTATTCAGATATTACACAACTAAACTCGAGGACGGTCAATCTCGCTATACATTATTTAGTTGTTACTCGCACGGCAACGAAGAAATGGAGAATAGTAAACGCCTGAACCATAAGTAACCATCGATTTGATACCAAACGAGCCAAAGGAATAAAATTTTGTCCTTTTTAACTTGTTTCCTTCTCTTTTATCTTCCAGGCTGCAGAGGCGTGCAGTTTTCTTCTGAAATGGAAACCTTATTAATTTAGTTCAACTCAAAACAAAATATATTTCAATTTCTACTAAAAAAAAGTATGATATATTATGATTATAAAAATATATACATACAGAGATATACGTAAAAGTGACTAAGAACTAAAAATACATTTTGTGAACTAAAAAGAGAAAAGAAAAAAGCCACCCAGTAAACATGTAAACAATGGATCTGTCTCTTTACACCATTCAAATTACTACATTGCATGCATTGATCATACGTCCTGTTAATCACTCCACCACCAAATATGACAAAGCAATACCACATTCTAAAATCCCAAACCAGATCTCTGGTTTGAGCAAGGAGAGTACATGCAACCATTTCGGACAAACACATGATACAAAGCTTGACACGCGATGCCAACACTTACTTTACAAGCTGCCCAAGTTTCTGTGCGTGTTGTGTCACTGTTCTTGATTACCGGGATGCCAAGGACCAGAAGTTCAGGAGAAACGATGGCACTGTGGTGAACCAACAAATGAAAGCCATGCCTGTAGCCGTTTCAAACTGCACACAGTGGTTCTGTCCACAACTTGCAAGATCATTATCAATAAGGACTGTGATGCCTGCTGATGCACAGGCTGCTGCAAATGTAAGGGTAGAAGTGACCTGCATGGAAGATACAGGTCTTCTGAAATTACACACAACAACATTTTCAGAGGGGAAACAAATAACACAAATCAAAGCTCCACATGTCTTACATTATGAAGTTTGAAACTTATAAACTAATTGATAAAAAAACCACTCTCAATTGAAACCCCAACTTGGGAGGCTAGGGATGAAGAAATCTTATATGCAGTCTTAGCCTTACATTTTTATTTTTATTTTTGTAAAGAGACTTTTCTGAATTCAAACTCGTGACTTTTTGATCACGAAGGAACAATTTTACCACTACTCTCATGACCATTATTTTATATTTTAGAATTGTGGCAAATTAGTTAGTCTTACTGGAGATCTTACCCCATCACCAACTGTAAACAAACTGACAACTCGATAGTTCTGCAAAGAGCGCCTTACTAAAAGGGCATATACATCAATAATAGCCAATGGAAAGCTCCACAAAGTCTGCAAGCCGGTAGCCGCAACAAGGTAACTGATAAAAGATGACACGAGGATTTTATGTAATGTAGTAACATTTCATAAACAAAAAGGGGGAAATCGAAAAGAATAAAGCCAAAAGATATTGCAATAAAGACATGTTTCAACTAAACAGTGGAGGGAAAACAGCATGGACAAATACATCTAACAACTAAGACATCATATATGCAATCACAAACCAGTGTCCAAACACAAGTCTAAGATCAGAACTATCCAACACCAAAATCCATTCCCATCTCAATATACATCCAATTAAATTAATAGTATCCCAGTCATACAACCGCATCATATGCGTTTGGGCATGACACTGAGTCATTATCAAAGATTCAAAATATTTCCATTCCATTCTCAAACTGCATGCAACAATTACTATTCCAATAATTAGTGTGAATTTTGTTTTTATAGAAAATTACTAATGTGATATGATATATGGGAAAGGGAAATCTTTTTTTGTGTAAACGAACCCCAAAAACACTGATGTTGTCTATCCAGCTAAGCTATATTCAGTAAACTCCCAGCAGCTTAGGTAGATGTTAACAAAATGTTAAGATTCTTTCAGATATTGAGAACAATAGACAACAGGAGTTGTAGCTCTAATCAGCTGATGTTTGAAAGTCGTTATATGTTACAACGGCTCCATTTTAGCACCGAATAGTAAACATGAATGGCATCAATTTGTTGAGGAATAAGAATAATCCTCTAAATGATCCTTTATTATGACAATAAATAAATTTGATGTACCTAACATTGCAGCTCTATCAGACTCACACTTATTGAATTTGCTACCATACAAATAAAAGACACATTCCTTCAGTGACAAAACAACACATTTTCAAAATCAAACTTCTTATTCATAAGAATAATAATTAATTAATTTAAAATTAAAACTAACAAGAATGACTTAACAATTGATTATGTTTCATGCAGCAACACACTCGTACCCCTCAAGAACAATTTTTTTTTTTTTTGGTACATCAACAATTTTAAATCAATAACCATGAATCAGCAGCACATGCAGAACTCAGGCTCAAGGATACAGTCTAGTACTAATCCAAAGATCCAAATGCCACATACCCATGTGGCGGATGCTTAGATGAAAATTCCTCAGAATCAATTTATAAATTAAAGAGAAAAAGGACAAAAACTGCTGCCTTTTTAGTTACCCAATAGACACAGAATTAGAATCTCTTTGATCCAAAATTGAATAATTTGACCAAATCCTTCCTTACCCTTGGCACAGATTTCTTACAATCACAACCACAAAAAAAAGAGCATTTAAATTTTTTTAAAAAAAAAAGGAAAAACAAAGTGAGATTGATTACCAGAATGCAGTGACTGAAGGGAAATCACTAGTGGAGGCCATGATAGATAGTGCAGCAGCTGCAAAAACAAACTGAGAGACACGCAAACAAAGGCCACCGGCAGTGCCGGGCATGCCTTGGATATCCTTCATCCTCACCCTTGGAGCGTTAGCATTAACGTTAGCGTTAGCGTTGAGGTGTTGGTCAGCACCACCTTCAGTTGTTGGAACTTCTTCAACTGGGTGAACCGAAGCATGGCTCACATTCATTTCTCCTCAATCACACTTCAATTCATAATCACAACCCCACAACCATCCAATTCTCTCTTTCACCAAAACTGATCACATCCATAAAACCTCATCAACAAATCAAATAAAAAAAAGTAATAAAAATGCTGAATTTGATGAACTTTTTTTTTAGACGGGGAAGGGGGAGATGAGAATTGACTATCTTGAATTGAATAAGGGAATACCCTTTGATTTATTTCCTATAAAGGTTATAACTTTAAACACAAAACCAGCAAAACCGAACGGAATCAATAGCGTGATTCAGATCACTTCACTTGCTAAAATCACGAATAAAAATTAAAGAAAAAATAAAAAAAGGACTATACCCAGAAGAAGAATTGCAGTGAAACGTGTTTCTCCTTTTCCTTTTCCTTTGCCGGGAATGGAGAATCAGGATCTGCGGTAGAATGAAGGAAAATGGAGTAAGATAGAAGGAAAGGGAAAACAGACAACGCTGGCTGCAGACTGCAATAGTTGAATGTTGGTGCACGCGTCACTTGTGGAGTTGTCTTTGTTTTAATTTGTTGTACCTACTCAACCCTGAAAATTCAAAAAGGCCAAAAAAAAAAAATTAAAAGTAAAGAAAAAGCTGAGGCAGTAACATGAAATGAGGAATAATATCAATGTATTTTTTATAATATTAATATTTTATTTTATATAAGTATACGGGACTCATATATATTTTTTATATATCTGGTCTTACATTTACGAATATTAAATAATTCGTTAATTGTCTGAATTAAAATTGGTACTTTAGAATTACACGCGTTGAAGTCTGGGCAGCATTTCACTTTCCGTCACTCATCTCCTGAATCATAGGAAATGTGTATTATTACTCTTCATCTCTTTTTTCTTTAATTTAGTCTATGCTTTGCTCCTCTAACATTCAAATAGAGAGGCAGGATCTTTTGACACCAGTGTCAAATTTAAAATTTGACACCTTATCTGAGAGCCGTTAAATCAAAAGAGATCAATGGTGTCACATGCTTACAAATAGAGTCGTTGATCTTTTTTGATCTAACGGCTCTCATATGAGGTGTCAAACTTTAAATTTGACACCGGTGTCAAATGATCTCGCCTCCCAAATATATATATTTTTTTCAAATTGTGATTTTGATCTTTAGTAGAAATATTAAGTCTATCCATTTGTAACCTGTTTCCAGTCTTAAATTTATATGACTTGTGAATAATGGTGTAATTTATATATGTTTATCTATAAGGTGGCAAAATAAGTAATTAATGTAAATAAATATATTTATTGAAGTTCAAACCTATTATCTCTTACAAACTATCCAAACCCTTCACCATTATGTCAGTTTTAATGGCTTTAAATTTAAAATTAGTTTCTCAATTAATATAAATTTGAAATTATTTTTTGAAAAATACAATTAGTTATGCATGGGAGAGATGTGTACTCAACTCGTTTGGTAGACAGGATAGGATAAGAGTAGGATATGATATGAGGCTGATAAGTCTATATCATGTCCCGTGTTTGATGAGCACCTGATTAGCAATACGATAAGATTATGTAGAAGGAGAAAGGAGAAAGAAAGAATAAAATATAATGCAATAAATACAAATATATTGGGTAGCGTGGGGATATATTGGGTATCCAATATTGGTATCTTATCCTATTGAATCCTAACCCAACTCCCCATATAGAATAAGAAATCATGTATTGGATAGGATAAAATGAAACAATAGGATAAACTAATCATATCCTATTGACCCACCAAACAAGAGATAAAAGTAGGATATGATAAGTTATTCTATCATATCTTCTTTATCATATGCTCCAAACAGGCCCTCAGTGTTGACATTTACATTAGTGACCTACCTAATTAATAAAGATAGCAAAAGAGTGGAATAATTTTTTTTTTCCTTCCCATGAACATGTTCCTTCATCCACCACTTGTGATTAAATCATGAGATCTTGGAGTTTACTTAGGCGAAAAGGCCATACAATTGATTTCTCCCTCAAACCAAGTGATTCGCATAAATTTGGAGGTGAAATAGAGAAGGGAAGAATTTGCCTCCCACATGCTTTACACTTTAGCGCGCTTATGCAAGGAGAAATACATGTTGCAAAAGCACCAAAGAGCTGTAGCGACTAAATAGCGCACTTTAGCACGCATTCACAACACAGTTCAGGCCATTTTTTCTGCCATGCTTTCTCTTAGTTAGCAAATCAAGTTTTCCTCCCACCTAATTAACCATTCAACAAACCATACACAAATACCTAATCATCCATTAACATATCAAGTAATTTTCATCCATGGATTCATCAATATTAGCATCAAGCCATTATGCATAATCAATAATCCACATAATCCATCATGAAATCAACTTGACTCAACACTCAATTACAAAACATACGACTTTGACATAAATGACATCATATACACATGCCTCAATTTACTTGAGTTACAAACCAAATATACATGCTTGAACCATGACACATATACAACATATTAACTTTTATCAAAATACAAGTTCTCTAACAATGGTTCTACAAGTGTAGTATTTTTGAAAGATGTCATGCTACTCAAAATACTCCAAGAGAGCTAAATGTGCTCATTTCCCTTTGAAGTGCTAGCTCTTCCTCTTTAAGGACCTGAAAAATATTCTCCAAAAGGGATGAGATATAAATCTCAGTAAACTAAGGATCCTTGGAGATTCCTTCAACCTTAAGTTCATTTCCTGCATGAAAGGTTATAATACACATGGCATAACAAGCAACATATAAAGAGACAATCCATAATTGATTTATCATATGTACCCAATACACTAAGACCACTCCAATGAGTTGTACCTCAAAGTAAGTGTCCATATGAAACTTCCGAGAATCATACCTTTTAGGATAAATTCCCAAAGGGAAGTCCATACCTATATTTTATTTGCCAGTGAACCTATTCAATCAATTTATAAATATAATGGCTAAAACAATCAAGCACATCGTATTAAAATTCCAATTGCATATTAGTCCATACATTATTAACATAATATAGATGTTATGTTTATATCCTAAACATATAGTTTTCTGTTTGTGTTAATTCACTTGTATTGAAGCTGCATTTTTGTATTTGTTATCAGTGGTATTCAAGTTATTGTTTTGTCCTTTTATATTTACTCGTGGGCCAAATCATGTGTTTTATTACAAGGCCCAAAAGTGTTATTTCACCTGATGGTTATTTGCAAACTACCAAGATGCTGTGTTTTGTTGTTATGATGGTAAATATCAATTGGTGTTAAGCTTCCTATATTATGTGACATTTTTTTGCTGATTAGAATTACACAGTTCTTGCTCTCGGTTTTTCATTCTCGAGTTCATCATTCTTGAGAGGAAAATAAACTTATAGTTTGTTCGGGAGTATAAGGCATTTTGTGAGGGGAAGAGTGAGAAAGCGTTCTTCTGGTTAAGACGTATATTTTGTTTGGTTTACTTTTAAGGGATTCAACTATCAGTGGGTGAAGGTGCAACAAAGTGGGGCTTTCCTTTGGTGAAGAAGGGTTCAAGCTATTGTTCTGCTTAGGAGTACCTGAATCATGGTGCTTGCTCAAAGATCTGGTGAAGTTCTTCCTTTTACCATTACTACTGTTGATTCTTGATTTTATTCGAATATATTTGTGTTGCAGCTAATAACGTGTTTTGTATTTTTACATCTTTTTAGCTTTCTTTCTCTGTTAAATGCCTTGTGTGAATACTTAATTTTGTCCCAAATATTCAAAAAAAAAAAATTAAGCTGTTAATACCGTATTTTGTCTTCTTCTTTTAAATTATATTTTTTGTTTAAAAAAAGAGAAAAAATAAATAAATAAATAAAAGAAACACAATTCATAGAGTCTTCCTCTCTTAATATCAACATAGCCTTATTCTATCAATATAAAGAAAGAGACCCACTCAATCACGTAACCTCAGCCACATTACCCAAGTTGTCGCCACTGCAAAAAGGGCTCTTCCACCTCCATAAAATACCGCCCAGTTGGTAGATTCACTTGGCCAAAGTAATGACAAAGAGCAAAAATAGCAACGAAGCAGAGTTAAGAGTTGGGAGCAATGGCCAGAAGAAGAAATTGGAAACGACCAATGCAAAAATCTCTCATTAGTCCGTTGAGCAAGAGAAGATGGGATTTTATGGCTTCTTCTATAAAGCCTTGGTAGAAGATAAGAACAAGGGGAGGAGATTTTTTTGGAGAGGGGAATGCACCTAGAAGAGAGAGTTCTTGGAAGAGGTTGAGAAAAGTAACAAAATCTTCACAAGACTCATGAGGGGTGTCGATTAGTGAAAAGAAAAAGGAGATCGAAGACTCTTCTATCATAAACACCCATCTCTTTTTACCTTCTTCTTAGTTTACCGTACATATATTCTTCTTCTGCCTTTTGTGCATGCACGAACTCCTCTTTCATTTCTCTTAGCTAGGCCGAGAAAATACTTCACCACCATTACAAAATTGTCCAACTTATCTTCATCTCTCCATCCCTTTTCTATTATCCTAAATGAATCTGAACTATCACTGCCATTTTTCTTTTCTATTGGTCCTTTTCACATTTTCTTGACTCCTAATCAGGTGAAGTCGTAGGGATAGGCATGGGTTGAGCTGAACCGATTTTTTTTGAAAAATTGAACCGAATTATTTTTTTAAAATCAATTCGGTTCGGTTAGGTTTAAAACTGGTTCGAACCGGTTTGACCCGAACCGATTATGAACTGGTTTGAAACCGGCTCGGAATAGGAAATCAATTTCGAACCATTTCGAAAATAAGTAACAAGGGCTTGATTTTCTCTCTCTATGGATCCGACATTCAGGGTCTCATTAACTCTTTCGAACCTGTCGAAAATTTGGGTTTCTTCGGTGACAATGCTTTCTCCTCCTTCTTTGGATCCAAAACTGACAATTTGAATTGCAGGCAAAGGCGTCTCAACCAAGTCACTCATTCTGGTAATTTTTTGTTTGAGATTGTAATATTGTGCCATTTATTGGGTATATTTCTTCCTTTTTCTTCCTTCCCTAGTTGATTGTCAAATCTGGGTTCTACCTTTTTGGCGATACAATATGCATTTTTCTAAGTTATTCACTTAAAACTTCTGCTTTTAGTTTGAATCTTTGTTTTTGGTTTGTTTGTTGTTTATTATGTGGGGTTGTTCATTTGCTTGATTCTAGTTTGATTTTGAGGGTTGTTTCACCTGCTCTGTTGCTTCATTTGTTTAAGTAATTGATATTATTAGTACTCGATACCCATGTGTCATTTAACTGGGTATAATTTTTCTTCCTATTATTTGTCGTAAGGATATGCAAATGAACCATTCTAAAGTTTACACTGATTACTGATTAATCTTCTAATTGCCACTTTGTTGTTTTTGCAATTTCATGGAGGTTGTCATCATCTATATGAATAATACTTTAAACAAGATAAACCTCTTTGAGCCTTAAGAAAAAGGAGAAAAAAAGAATACAAGTTCAGGAACAACATTTAAG